AGAGAGTGAAGAAAAAGATGGAAAATTTTTAACTCAGTTAGCCTGACCTCAGTCATTGGTAAGATTTTAGAGTCCATTATAAAGGTTGAGATTTCCAAGTACTTGGAAACACATGGTAAAATAGGCTGAGTCAGCACAGTTTTGTCAAGCGCTGACAAACCTGATAGGAATTCTTTGAGGCGGAAACAAGCAAGTTAGGCAAAGGAGAGACCAGTGGGCGTGATCAATTTGGATTTTGAGAAGGCTATTGACAAGGTACTACAAAGGAGGCTGCTAAATAAGATAAGATTGAGTGGCACAGTGGCTCAGTGGTTAGCAGTGCCAGCGACCTGGGTACAATTCCACCCCCATGTGTCTGTCTGTAGGGAGTTTGCACATTCTCCGGGTGCTCTGGTTTTCTCGCATAGTCCAAAGATGTGCAGGTTAGGTGGATTGGCCATACTAAATTGCCCATAGTGTCCAGGGATGTGCAGGCTAGGTGGATAAGCTATGGGAAATGCAGGGTTACAGGGATCTGGTGGGATGCTACTCAGAAGGTTGGTGTGGAATTGATGAGCCGAACGGCTACTGCACTGTAAGGATTCTTAAAACAAAAAGAGCCCATTGCATTACAGGCAAGGTACTGGCATAGATAGAGGATTGGCTGACTGGCAGAAGGCCAAGAGTGGGTTAAACGGGTCTTTTTCAGGATGGAAGCTGGTGACTAGTGGAGTTCTGCAGGGTTCAGTGTCAGGGCAACAACTATTCTCGTAATGCATTAACGATCTGGGCAATGGAACTGAGGGCATTGCTGATAAGTTTACAGATGTCACAAAGGTAGGTAGAGGGACAGGTAGTGTTGAGAAGACAGGGGTGCTGCAGAAGGACTTGGACAGGATGGGAGAGTGGGCAAAGAAGTGGCAAACGGAATACCGTGTGAGGTTATGCGCTTTAGTAGGAAGAATAAAGGCATTAACTATTTTCAAAATAAGGAAAGGTTTCAAAAATTTGAAGCACAAATATACTTAGGAGCCCTAGTTCAAGATTCCTTGAAGGTTAAAATGTAGCTTCAGCTGGCTTTTAAGAAGGCATATGCATATTGAGAGGCCTAGAATATAAGGCTGTTTCATACTCTGGTCAGACTGTGTTTGGGATATTGTAAGCAGTTCTGGGCCCTGTATTTGAGGAAGGATGTGTTGCCCTTTGAGGGGGTCCACAGGAAGTTTGCAAGAATGATCCTGGAAGAATATTGACATAGGACGAGCTGTTGAGGACTCTGGGTCTGTACTCGATGGAGTTTAGAAGGATGGGGGTGGAGGGGATCCTATTGAAGTTGCAGAATAGAGAGAGGGCTAGATTGAGTGAATGTAGAGAAGATGTTTCCCCTAGTAAAAGAGACTAGGACTCAAGGCGCCGCCTTGAGTTACAACTCTTTAGAGCTGAGATGAGGAGGAATTTATTCAGAGGGTGGGGAATCTGTGGAATTCATTGCCACAGAAAGACTTCAAGTCATTGAGTGGATTTAAGATGGAGATAGATAGGTCTTGATTAGTAAGAGGATCAAAGGTTATGGGGAGAAAGCAAAAAAAAATGGAGTTGTGCAATTTATCGGCCGTGATTGAATGACACAGCAGATTCAATGGCCAAATGGCCTAATTTTGCCCTTATATCTTATGGCCTTATGGTACATTAAGGCTAAGTCCCAGTCAATGATTTTGGTCAGTAACATCTTGATAGTCCTGACTGCCGTTTCAGCTTTTCCAGAGGTTGTGACATATTAGTAACAAATTTCCCAAAAGATGCCTTCCAAACTGTGACCAATTATCTGAGATAATCTCATCTAGGATTCCAAGAGTGAAAGGAAATTGTTCAAAACTTTTATCACTGTATCATATGCGTTTTCAGGTTTTGAGGTATAAAACCATTTTTACTTACAGCTTCTAATTTCCGAGTTCTAAACTTGTGACAAGGTATGGCTGAGGTTTTTATGGTAAAAATGAACTGCCATCTTGAAATGAGCCCTCCATGAGAAACTTGCCAGTTAAGAGGCAGGAAAGAGAGCACTCAACAGTGAATTCTTAAGGCCTTATGCAGGACACAAGGGCATGGTCTCAGAGTTAAGGGATTACCCTTTAGAACTGAGATCAGGAAGAATTTCTTCAGACAGATGGTGGTGAATCTGTGGAAGCTATTGCCACAGAGGGCTATGGAAGCTAAGTCTTCTTAAAAGAGAGGTGCATTGTTTTGTAACCTTAACAGTCAATGAAGCTTCCCTGACGTGTCTGGGCACAGATTCCAGCAGATTTTGAAAACTGTTGAGGAGATGCTGATGGAGCAAGTTCAGCGTAGAAAAGAAAGCCATTTTCCCAGATAGTGAATTAAATTGGTGTACAGATATGTCAGGAAATGACACAAAATGTGTGGAATCGACATTATTACCAGATTCAAGATCTAGCACAAAAATAGTTTAATTAAAATATAAATATTTCTTTGTAAATCTTTCATTAATTCTTCACTGTCCTACAGTGTTGTAGCTTTATAGCTGGAGCAGCAATACAATGGGACTAGAAAATGATGTCATATCTCTAAGAAAGACGCCATTTCTGCATGTCTGTGACTCCTTGAAGCAATGTCTACTCTGTTGACTGAAAACAAGCCAGATCAGACTGTCTCTCTGAACTCTTATGATTGAATTCTTCATGGTTTCTAACCCAGAGCAATTCTTGAACTTTATAATGAGCTACAACTGCCTCCCTTCTCCTGTGTTGTATCTATGAGAAAGACATTGGAGAAACAATTAATCAAAGAAGCATTTTAAGCAGCAAAAAGGATTTTTCCTCAG